TTTTTTAAATGAGACAGAGTCTTACTCCATCATCCAGGCTGGAATACAGTGGTACAATCTCAGCTCACTGCGGCCTCCACCTCTGGGTTCATGTGATTCTTGTGCCTCAGCTCCAGAGTAGCTGGAATTACAGGCGCACACCACTACACCTAGCTAATTTTTTTTTTTATTTTTAGTAGAGATGGGTGATATAGTTTGGCTCTGTGTCCCCACTCAAATCTCATCTTGTAACTCCTATAATTCCCATATGTTGTGGCAGGGACCTGATAGGACATAATTGAATCATGGGGGCTGGTCTTTCCCGTGCTGCTCTTATGATAGTAAATAAGTCTCACAAGATCTGATGGTTTTAAAAATAGGCATTTCCCTGCACAAGTTCTCTGTTTGCCTGTTGCCATCCATGTAAGATGTGACTTGCTCCTCCTTGCCTCTCGCCATATTTGTGAGGCATCCCCAGGCATGCGGAACTGTAAGTTCATTAAACCTCTTTTTCCCCAGTCCCAGGTATGTCTTTATCAACAGCATGAAAACGCACTAATACAATGGGGTTTCACCATGTTGACCAGGCTGGAGTGTACCTTTCTCTGTAATCACGTGGCAAGTGGAGTGAGCTTTAAATATAGTATGGGGAAGCTCCTTGTAAAGCAGATAAAGTAGGACATTCAGTCTTTTCCCATTTGGGGTTTCATTTTCACAACATCCCTTTGAGGATAAGGGAAATACTAATATTAGAGATCATATGGCTTGCCCAGAGGCACACAGTAAGCCACTAGTACAGGAAGATCAGAACTCAGGTCTTTGATTCCTAATTCAGTGTTGTTTCTAATTTTCCCCCAAAGAATGATAAATCTACACAATTCTGAAAGACAAGGAGTGAGAGAAATTCAAATGCTTAACAGTAGATCCATGGGAAGGTCTGACTTGGGTCCCATCCAGATTCTAAGGGCTCTGAAGGGAATCTTACCACGTGGCTCCCATCCATTAGCTTCTGTGGTCAGAGCCTGGAGAATGCCATGGTTCTTCAACTCTGAGATCTGTAGGGGCAGCTGACCTTTAGCGTGAGGATGGAATCCACATAACCCCCATATACACAAACGCTTCCCATCCACTGTACTGAAGGCCAATCCACATACCCACATATACACAAACAGTTCTCATCCATGTACTGAATGTCCTTGACACTGGAGGCCAAAAGGATCTAGTGTGCCCTGATGGGTTGACTGAAGTCAGTTTTAATTTTTTTACTTTTTATTTATTTTTTGAGATGCTCTGAAAATTTTCAATTTTTTAACTTTTTAGTTATTTATGTTTTGAGACTCTCTGAAAACAGAGTCTTACTCTACTTCCCAGGCTGGATTGCAGTGGCCCAATCTTGGCTCACTGCAACCTCCACCTCCTGGCTCAAGTGATCTCCCACCTCAGCCTCCTGAGTAGGTAAGACTACAGGTGTGCACCACCACACACAGCTAATTTTTGTATTTTTAGTAAAGATGGGGTTTCACTATGTTGGCCAGGCTGGTCTTGAACTCCTGATCTCAAGTGATCCGGATGCCTAAGCCTCTCAAAGTGCTGAGATTACAGGTATGAGCTACCACGCCTAGCCTTGAAGTCAATTTTAAATTGAGGTATCTGGAAAACTTCAACTATGATATGGAAGTTGGGTGATGTTGGGGACAAGTGTACGTCCACCTTGAATGTAAACAAACAAAAATTCATACACTCATTTCAGACTATGGTGTGTCTTTGGTATTCCCTCTGCATTTTATAGCCTGCTTCATTATAGCAATTATCTTACTAAATAGAAATTATTTTGCATGTTTGTGTCCCATACACCCTCCCCTCAAGTGTGAGCTCCTGAAAGCTAAGGTCTATGCCACCCTTGTGTCCCAGTGCCCAGCATAGTTCTGGCACCACACAGTAGCACACAACAAAAGCCCTGGCAGAAGGTACAAAGGTGTGGGTGATACATACAGGGATTCCTCTGAAAGCCAGAAGAACACTCTTGTCCTTGTCATATGATGGAGAATACTCAGCAGACACTCGTTCACCCTGTAAAACAGTTAAGGGTCAATCTCCCAGGCACATATTAATTCCCCAAAGATAATAGTTTAAATGTTGCACCTTTTTTAAGTTCAGGGGAGCATATGCAGGTTTGTTACATAGGTAAACTTGTGTCACGGGGGTTTGTTATACAGGTTATTTCATTAGCTAGGCCTACTACCCATTAGTTATTTTTCCTGATCCTCTCTCTCTTCCCACCCTCCACCCTCCACCAGGCCCTAGTGTGTGTTGTTTTCTTCTATGTGTCCAGGTGTTCTCATCATTTAGCTTCTACTTATAAATGAGGACATGTGGATTTCTGTTCTGTGTTTGTTTGCTAAAGATAATGGCCTTCACTTCCATCCATGTCCCTGCAAAGGTAAATGTCGCACCTTTTCTAGTACCACAAAAAAAAAAAAAAAAAAAAAAAAAAAAAAAGATGAACTCCAGAGATGTCAACTATAATGAATACTGTAAATGAAAACTTCTGTTTAATCTGGTCCTAAGAAGAACTGCAAAAAAGCTTAGTTAATGTTATCTCAAAAATTTTATACTGATTTCCTGGCTCTTTAAAAGTCTAGGGGTTCTGAGTAAGTGAAGTTTAATGAAGCAGTTTCCTATGGCCTTTCTGCTCAGCCAAACCTATCCCGACAGAGATTAAAAACAAACAAACAAAATGACCAAAATGCTCGACCAATTGTTTGTAACTCATTTCACAGATTCAGAGCTAATTTTCCAATGTGTTTAAAATCCTACATATCACCAGGTGAGGTGGTTCACAGCTAAAATCCCAGCACTTTGGGAAGCTGAGGCAGGACTGCTTGAGCCCAGGAGTTCAAGACCAGCCTGGGCAACATGGGGAGACCCTGTCTCTAAAATACATATATATATGTATTTAAAGTAAAACTTATTAATGTAGTAGTGCTGGGTTTCTCACCATACAGTAAAGACAAAGTTCCATTAAAAGAAACTTTATAGATGTCCAAATTATGTTTGTATATTAGAATATTTTTTAGCTATGTACAGAAGCTCACACTTACATTCCCAGATAATCAGGAGGCTAAGGTAAGGATCAGCCTGAGCAACACAGCAAGAACCTATCTCTTAAANTGGGTTCAGGCAATTCTCCTGCCTCAGCCTCCTGAGTAGCTGGGATTACAGGCACACGCCACCATGCCCAGCTAATTTTTTGTATTTTTAGTAGAGACGAGGTTTCACCATGTTGACCAGGATGGTCTCGATCTCTTGACCTTGTGATCCACCTGCCTCGGCCTCCCAAAGTGCTGGGATTACAAGTTTGAGCCACCGCGCCCGGCCAATTTTTGTATTTTTTTTTAAGTAGACAAAGTTTCACCATGTTGGCCAATTGAACTCTTGACCTCAACTGATCTGCCTGCCTCCGCCTCCCAAAGTTTTTTTTTTTTTTTCTTGGGATGGAGTCTCACTCTGTTGCCCAGGTTGGAGTGCAGTGGCATGATCTCAGCTCACTGCAACCTCCACCTCCGGAGTTCAAGCGATTCTCCTGCCTCAGCCTCCAGAGTAGCTATGACTACAGGTGCCCACCACCACACCCAGCTAATTTTTATATTAGTAGAGATGAGGTTTCAACATGTTGGCCAGACTGGTCTCGAACTCCTGACCTCAAGTGATCTGCCTGCCTCAGCCTCCCAAAGTGCTGGAATTACAGGTGTGAGCCACTGCACCCAGCTGACAGATTACATTTTCAGTGTGTAGCTAGTCAAGCATGGTTGTGGGGTGGGGGAGCAGGCAGTGTGTAGGATTTAAACGTAACAATATATAACAATGAGCACTCACTATGATTTATATTTTGTGTGAGTAGTTTATCTACATTACCTCATTTAGTCCTCACAGAATTCCCATCATATGGGTTCTGATATAATCCCTGCTTTATAGATGAGGAAAGCAAGGGTTAGAAAAGTAACTTGCTCAAGGTCAAGTAGTTGGTGGGTAACAGAGCAAGTATTTGAACTAGAGATGTCTGACTCCAGAAGTGTGCTTCTGAATTGGCAAGTATATCTTTTTTTTTTTTTTTTAA